CACTTTACATGATAAAATATCTGCTCTGTCCCATGCCCATAATAACATAACCAGAAGAGGTTACTTCCTGTCTTTTAAAGTCTGTTACTAGTTATGTTTCTTCTGGTTGTTTTTGGAGTTATAGCTATATGGGTAGATATATAGATACTAATAGCTATATGTAGCTATTAGTAGAGGTGTTTTCTTTCTAATTATTATTTTCTTTTTAGTCCTCATCCACTGCTGTACATCGATTTTGCTCTGCAACCCGAGGCATTAAAAAGCAACATTTAAAAAAATAAAAAGTGGGAGATGGTGGAAGCCATGGCTTTGTTCCAGGGAGCAGCATCTGAGCAACTTTTCGGATAGCTCTCCTTGTGGGAAGAACCCTACAAGAAGCTCCTGTATGCTTGGCACGGACCAGTGTGACAGAACCTGCAGTCGCGGCTGTCTTTTCTGGGACTGGCTGTGTGGTGATCCTTTTCCTCCAGTGTAACACTGTTTTGTGCTCTTGGTAGCTTTTTCTTTCACTTTGTCTGTACTGGGTGTGGTAATGGCATAGTAGAAATCTCTTAATAATTTTAAGGTTGGTTTATAAAAATATATGATAGAATTGAAATGGTGATTGTTGGAGCAATTGAAAACTTTAAAGAAGAACAGAATAGAAATCATGCAGAAAATGGTGTTTGCAAGAATGGATTAGGGAAGTTAATAAATATATGTGAACATGACGATATTAGGTTCAGGAGCAAGGAACTCACCTATGTAGATGACAAAACCTCAATTAGTTAGCAAATAGAAAAGGCTGGCAAAGAGACCACCCACTCTTTTGCCAACGGAATAAATTTTCTTATTTTGGCCACAGTTCAGCAGGACATAAATAAAAGTATTGTCAGTATGGATTCAGATAAAAAAATTGTAGTAAGTGCTTCATTATGAGGCTATAGGTTAAATATCTGCCTGGGGATAAGAAAGGATATGAGAAAGAAAACTATAAAAAGAAAAGCTACAGAGCTAGGACTTTGAGATAAAAGTAAATACAGGGATGCTCGAGCTATTCAGAACCCTCTCCTGAACAACAAGCTGGAGGTCACAATGTACCAATCTCCATCCTCGGGGTCTTTGAAAGCCACTAGAGCAGTAGTTGTTGTCTGCGAGTTTGGTGGTAATGGTGGTAGTGTGGGTAGGAGGGGACACACATGTGCCATATAGAGGTCAGAAGACAGCTATGTGTAGTTGGTTCACTGCTTTCACATTTGTGCATTTCCGGGGATTGAACTCAGGTCACCAAGCTTGAAACACAAGCACCTTTACCCACAGACCCATCTTGTGGGCCAAAGGGAAACTGCCTTGGGTACAAAATACATTAAGGGATATTTAAGCTAGCCAACAAGACCTGCTATAGGGACCTCTGGGGACAGCAGGCTAAGGAGCATTTAACCAGCATAAGAAATGGACAGATGTAAGCATGAGGTCTAGTTTTCTTTTTCAATCATTATCCCAGTGCTGAGTAATTTGCTCGGTTTTGTCACAAGCTCAGGGGTATTTTTTATGTAAACAGAGGCATTTCCCTTAGATACAGGGCAGGAGGTGAATGTAGACTCATTTTAACAAAAGGCTAAGCTGTATTTCCCCAAATATTAGTTATATTAAGCATATTCAATGCATGTGTTTACTATGTAAGCATCATTGTATTCCATATTTGGCTCATCTTTCTTTTAAAAACCAGTGGGTTTACAATATGTGTGTGTGTGTGTGTGTGTGTGTGTGTGTGTGTGTGTGTGTGTGTATGTGTGTGTGTGTGTGTACTACAGATGCTGAAACTGGACAATTCTTAGGTAGAGAAAGGATGAAAACTCATCTGCATAATGATGCTTAGACCGTAGGTTTTCATGATGAGACTCACATCTCACCCTGTGTATAATGACTGCCTCAAAATGGATCACAGACCCAGATATGAAGCCTAGAACCTAACTCTATTTTTAAGAAAAAAAATGAGAAAAATCTTTGTGGATGAGACCTTGTCTCAAGCAAAGATTTTCTTGGTTACAATAACAAAAGCTTTACCTACACACCAGGTGGGTAAAATAAATTGGATTATTGCAACAAACACTCTGTTCTAGTCCCTAAATGGGAATAAAAATATGAATAATGGACTGCAAATTCCCTGCCCCTGTGTGTGTGTGTGTGTGTGTGTGTGTGTGTGTGTGTGTGTGTGTGCGCGCGTGTGTGTCTGTCTGTCTGTCTGTCTGTCTGTGTGTCTGCCTGTCTCTCTCTCTCTCTCTCTCAAAAGAAATTGCACCTACAATGTACTGAGAGTTTTAAAAACCCAACAGTAAGTGACTGGAAAAATGATTCAAAGTGTACAAGCACTTATTGCTTTTCCTGCAACTGATTTGAACAGGTTTCGTTAGATGTATAATGGCAGCACTCTGAATTGCTATCCTTCTGTACTTGTTTGCATTTGAAAATTGCTTGTATATGAAAATAAAAATTATTTTGTTTATGGACATGTTTTCCTGCAGCATTGTAAACGCATTTGCTACTTTTAGAACCTCTTAATTGACTCCTTAGAAATTTTTATCTAGAAATATCCATGTTGTCTGAACAGTAATACTTTATCTCTCTCCATGGTGCATTACTGTTATTTCTTATTCTTGTCCTATTGTGCTGGCTAGGACCCCTAGAGTCACACTAGAGTGGTGAGAAGACATATTTGCCTTGCTCTGGGTCACTGAGAAGAATGCTTGCAAGCTGACTGAAGTTATAATTTTAGTTTTGGTTTATCATAGATAGCTCCTCTTAAAGTGAGAAAATTCCTTCAATTCCTAATCTGAGAGTTCTTGCTGTGGATTTACAGTGACTTGTGCACATGCCTTGCTGACTCTACTGAAGTGCTCCTTTTATCCTCTTATTCTGTTAATACATAAAATTTCATTTGGTTCATCATAGTTAGAAAGACAGATCATAGATACATTATCTGATAGATAGATAGATAGATAGATAGATAGATAGATAGATAGATAGATGGACAGAGAGACAGATATGTAGATAGAATAGAGTCAGATGTAGCCATCTCAGCCTCAAACTCACTATTTAGTAAAGTCAGGCCTCACCCTCCCATGTGTTAGAATCACAGTCCTCTGCCACCACACCTGGCACATTAGTTTTGTTTTTCTTTTTGTTACTATTATGCTCCACTAAGTCCTACCCAGGTCTATTCTTATACAACTAAATCTATGGGTAATTTTTCTTATTGTTGATGTTTCAACTTGACTTTCACTCTTTCTGTTTCTGGTTCATTCATTGGCTCTTGGTTCATTAACTGGAAGACTTGATAGGAAAAATTCTGTTTCCCTTTCCTCCAGTCTTCTGTGAGCTGAGGACACCATTTATGATCAGGGCCTTCTGTGAAGGGCATTTGCAGTACAAGAGTACAAGGCAAATCTATGGATGACTCGAAGGTAAATTTGTCTTTCTCCTTAAAAAATTCTTGAGATTGATGTGTTTACATTTCTGTTTTCAGATGAAAATTTCCAAGGAAAACCTCCCAGAATCGTCTCCCCTGTGTCTCCTGTTAAGCGTTATTGCTCCTATATAATGAACGTGGTCCTTATTGTAGCTGTAATTGTACTTTCTATTGCTTGGTCACTGTCAGGTAAGTGACTCATTCTCCAAATTCTGCAGCATTCTGTCCACATTTCCATTGTCTGTTTTACTTATATACTTACACTAGGAGGAAGGACTCACTCTAGGAGGACCCTAGAGAAAACACACCAGAAACTCCTGTTCTCGTGGAACTTAGGGTGTAGCAGGAAGATGCAGAGAAGAAACATCACAGGCTGTGGTGTGACAAAGCCCGGGCTCAGCAACCCTGGGAAGATGACATTCAGAGACCTCCAGAGCGGCAGTTTTCACCCTTTCTGAGGCAGTTTCTGGGGTTGTGGTGACACCAACCAGCACTGACATGCACAGTGACAGCACAGGCATGCACAGTGACACAGCACAGACATGCACAGTGTCACAGACTCACAGCACAGTGTCACTCACTCACATGCGGTGTCAGAGTCTGAAATATTCTTTGATTTCGCATGTGTTCCATGTCTTCATTATGCATTCATCAGTAGATTGGCCTCCAGGTCAGGCCCCTTTCTTTTTATTGTAAGTAGGGCAGCAATAAACATGGATTGGAAGACTCTCTGGGCTAGGAAGTGTTCTCTCCATATATGTCCAGGAATGGCATATATGGGTCAGGTGATATGTCAATTTTTTAATTTTTTTAGGAACCTCCATATTGGCTGCATTAGTTTGTATTCCTACCAGCAGTGGGAATACAATGTGTTCCGATTTCTGCACATGGTTCTAACATCTGTTGTCATGTTTCTTCATGTCACCCATCCTGACCAGCTTTAACAAGAGCCAGTTTATGTTTCTATATATTTCATGTGTGTGCTACCATATAGGAAGACGTTCATCAAAGTTTGGGTGTAGAAGACCTATTTTGACATGGCACGAGTTGCCGGCTGGCATTTCTCTATGATAAAATCCAGGCAAGGGAGGAGTTTGCTTTCTTTGGTTAAGAGAAAAGAATCCTGTGAAAGTGGATGATGGGAAAGGAAGCTATAGGATTCCAGCAATCAGAAACGGTCCTAATGGGTTAGTGACTTGTGATTTTGTCCAGGGCGTGGTGTCTTTAGTCCTTGTACTCAGGAGGCACAGCCAACAGGATTACTGCAAACTCCAGAAGAGTACAATCCACACAGTGAGATCCAGGCCAGGCAGGGGACATAGCGAGAATCTGTCTCCACACACGAAATACACAGATGAAAAATAAAACATTTCCTCACAACCCCACTGAAAGGCTTTGGATTGAGGACCCTCATGCTAGGAAGGGTTCTCCTAGTGACCAGTAAGAAAACTTCCTGCCCAAGCACACAGAAAACAACTGAGATTTTAATAACTAATCAAAGACAGGAGACTTAGAAATGTTTCTTATATTTCATGAACTGTCTACTTTTCAGTGAGAAAAGAAAAATTGGTCAATGAGAACCTTAGACTTTGCTATGCCGACTGCCCAAGACACTGGATTGGATTTGGAAGTAAATGTTTTTATTTTTCTGGTGACATGGGAAACTGGACATTCAGCCAGACCTACTGCATGGCACAGGAGGCCCAGCTAGCTATATTTGAGAGCCAGGAAGAGCTGGTAAGAAAGAATCAGAAATTAGTTTGTTGTTTGTTATGCTGAGTATGTAATTCCTTGAAATAGGGAGCTTAAGGCTGAAACATGAGGAAGGATCCTACTGTAGGCACTAGGGACATGGGACCACATTAGTGTGTGCCATTTGCTAATGTTACTTACTGCTTCTGAGGTACTCCAGAGACATGCGATCATGTGGTGTTCCTAGTCAATATGTGACATCAGACATACAACCTACTGAGATTCCTGGTAGTCATGTAAGTCTTCATCCAAGCAGGCAGGTATTCCATACTGAAAGTGACAGCTATTAATAACCGCAAGCACTGGTTAACAAGGGACTTTCCCAGTCACAGGGATGGATAGTCACCAATGATGTACTTTGGATGATAGATGAAAATGCATCCACTGAGAACCCCAAAGTTGGTGACCCTTTGTTATACCCGGCTGCCTTCCCAAAAGGATGCTGTAGAACAGAGACACAAGGGTCATCTGAAGCTATGAGACTCAAATATCTGCTTTCTGTATTTTATGGCAGAGTTTCCTGAAAAGATACAAGGGGGATTCTGACCACTGGATTGGCCTGCACAGAGAGTCAACACAGCACCCTTGGAGGTGGACAGACAACACTGAATATAACAGCTTGTATGTTTGTAAACCACTTTTCCTTCTACTGTGTTCATGCTGTGTTTGTGTGAGTTGTGACTATAGGAGAGGAAAGCCTGAGCCATGTGGAGCCAACAGTACTGGAAATGTAGAAAACCAAATAAACCCTTACATTGGAGGAGACCCTCAGAGGTAGGGTGTGTGCTTATATGCAACAGATGATCCCCCAGGAAATTCCGCTACAAATTTAAATTCTTCTGAGTATTCCCCTTTAGTGGCCATATTTTCAAAGCATTTACTTAGTGTGATTTCACTTGAAAATTTTATCATGATGATGGTATCTGGGGTAGATGTTCTCTGCTCCCTCACCAATGGAAAACTATTCCTTGATGAGAAACACCCTTGTGAGAGGCAGACAGAAGCTAGGATGGGTGCCCAGGGCTCTGAATCCTCACTGCAGAACTCCTGAGTCGGACTTAGCAGACAGCTGTTTGCACAGCTGCACCTGTCACAGAAGCAGAGACTCCAGGGGCATTGGGAACCCCCTCTGTAGTCCCATGGACAAAGAGCACTGAGACAGCTCCTGGATGGGAACTTTGCTACCCACTTCAAATGGAGCCATTTCACTGGACAGTGAAACACAGACGCAGTCAGATCCATCATTAAAGACCATTCAGAATTTATTAAGAATTGGATTTTCCCCATTTCATACACGTGTAAAATACTTCAAGACAGAATTGAAAATCAACCTTTTGAGGCCACCCATGGCAGCAGTTCAACTGTTCATGGCATCAAGCACCATCAAATGCCTTCTCCACAGTTTACAGCATCAACATGGATGAATGACAAAGGTTTGGTGTTCAAACTGAACCCCAAAATGTAAGGGATGCTACGTCTAACGAGTACAGGTGATTCCTCATGGGCTCTGCCTTTCTTTGATTCTTATTACAAATCAGCAGTGCAGGTTGGCAAAATTTCATTGCTGAATTGAATCAGTGTCAGCATGTGCAGAAATTTTGTTTGTTTGTTTGTTTGTTGTTTTAGGGTTCCTATCCGAGGAGAAGGAGGATATGCCTACCTGAGTGACAAAGTGATCAGCAGTGGCAGGGTCTACATGAAGAGGAAGTGGATCTGTAGCAAGCCTTTGCTATACTTTACAGGAGCCAGTGATTTTAAAACCTGGGTAGGGAATGTGTCAACACATGCCTGAGAAAGACATGCTTTGTAACCTGTTATCTACAGTTGCTATTCCATTTCCGATCTGCTAAAATCATCATCAAAAGCCAATGACAAGATGTGTTGACAGGAAAGATGAAATCTCAGAAGATTATACAGAAGGGTTCTTGGGAAAACATGGATTCTAAATTCAATAGGTATTTGTGTGAAAACCTAAAGTATAATCGTATCTGTATTAATGAACTCCACTTTTATGACCAGATATGAAAATAGTTTCTTTGTTCCTTACCTTAAATTCAGGGAACCTAAACATGCGAGGAGACTGAATCCAGGGAAATGATTCTTCTACAAATTCAATAACCAAGACAAAAGAAGTGATATCTAGACAGTATTAAGCCAATACTGTCTACCCTGTGATTAATACATGATGGACATTGTCAAAATGTTTTTATACAGACTTCTCAAATGTTCCTATTTTAGTTTCAGTGGACTAAGCATGAACCAAGAGGAAGCCATATTACTTTCTTATTTCAACCTTTTTAGACTGTCATCCATGAGTATGACATCCAAACTTTATTCTTTATGAGGTTCCTTTCAAACTATTAAACTCTGCTGGTTTGAAATGAACCTAATAAAGACTAACACAGTTAATTACTGAACCTCTTTAAAAGCATCTGGTGCCTAATTGTGTAATCATTTCCAGGCACTTGAGTTTTAAGAACAAATTAATTTAATTTTTGATAATATGCTATACTGTACTGATGAGTCCTAAAAAGGACGAAATAACAGATCAAAGCCTGTCTTCAGCCTACTCTGTCTTCTTACTTTCCTGCTATATGTGCCATGCCTGCTAACCTGAGATCAACCTGAACCCAAACAATGGAGGGAGAAAAACAAAGCCAGCAAGTTGCCCCATGGTGTTCTCACTTACCCTGTGCCTATGCACACATTGACCCAAAAATAAACAATAAAAATTTTTAAGTTCATCTTTTATAGAGTCTGTGCCTGTTATGTTTGTTTGTTGCTGCTGCTGCTGCTGCTATTTGCTTTTTATTTATTTCTTTGTGTTTTGTGTTGTTTTGTTTTTGACACAGGATCTTAATATGTAGCTCTGGGTGTCCTGGCAGTCACTATATAGACCACACTGGCCTCAAACTCACAGAGGTCTCCCTGCCTCTGACTCCTAAGTGCCAGGATTCAAGGCATGGCCCACTATACCTGGCAATGACTATACCTGTTTTGAGTCTACATTTTTCTTATTAGATAAATACAAGCATATCTCATTCAGGAAAATACACTTCTCAGTGTGTTGGTCCTATTTCATTTAGGCCGTTTTTGCTTTGCAGTCCATTTTGTTTCAAATAAACTAACAAAAATGTCCTATTGTTACTCACTTTTGTATTCCTAGAGACCAGCACAGTGTGCCAACACACGAGTGTTCAAATCATATGCATAAGGAAGGAAGGGTCTCAGGACTATGATTGTGAGAGTTCTATGTTGGGTTGTTTTCAGCTAAGTTATTCATGCAGAAATCAACTTTTCTTCAAAATAATCAGAAAAACAAATGACTTTATATTATTCAGCTGTGTGGGGTTATTGTGAGGCAGAATTCCTGGGGTGATGCAGGACACACATGGACTCACTCAAGATATACAGGGCATAACAGACCAAAGGACAGATATCATCAAACACCAACTTGTTGAACTTAGAGTTTTATTGGGATTATTTATAGAAATATGAGTAAGGAATGAGGGTTTTCATACAAGCTCAGAACTGACACAGAGATGCTGCATCACCAAAGTCCACTCGAACATGAATGATCACTCACAAAAGCTGGAACCCTGGAACACAATGAACACGTTTCCGGCACCTCATTGGGTAAGAGAGTGTCTGTCTTAGTTGCTTTTCTTTTGCTGTGGAGAGACACCATGACTATGGCAACTTATGGAAGAGAGTTTGTTACAAGCTTGCCTAAAATTTCAGACGGTGAGGAGCATGGCATCAGGCAGGCAGGCAGGCATGGTGTTAGAGCAGAGGCTGGGAGCTTCCATGTTGAGACAACAACCAAGAGGCAAAAAGAGAGCACGATGTGGGGATGGTGTGGGCTTTTGGAACACAAAAGCCATTGACACAACTACTGAAATGAGGCCACATATCCTCCAACAGGACCACATCTCCTCTAACATGACCATCCCTCTTAATTCTCCCCAAAAAGTTTCACCAATGGTAGATCAATCATTCAAATACATGAGCCCATGGGAGCCACACCCATTCAACTCACCACAGTGTTCTTTCCTGGGGATCAGTTGGTCTCTGCCCCTTCCAGGCAGCTGCACTTGTCCGAGAGTGACACTTGGCAGTCACTTACTACATAAACATTGTGGGGATTTGGGACCTTATGAATCTGGTCAGTTTGAGGGACTTCCTGAAGCTATTTTGAGTAGTTTGACTTCTGTTTTCCTTCAAGGTTGTAATGATCTCAGAGGAAACTGCAATACTTCAAGACTGACTCACAAAAAGGAATTTGATTGACATTGTGATTCTACCTGGTGTAATCTTCATGTACAAACTGGCTTCTAAATCACACACCAAGAAAAGTTTTATTCTCCTATTTATAAGCCAGTACTTTGACAAATTTTGTAGCCCCTGTTTCAGGGTTTCTTCATATGCAAAATGGGCCAAAGGAGGCAACATTACAAGCTTATCCACGACTATGTCTCATCAGAATCAGTAAATATGCAAGGCTGAATGTAGACAGAGGCTTCTGTCCCGCCTGGTCCCACAGCATTTAATCCAAAATAAACACACACAGGAATCTATTAATTATGGACTGTTTGGTCATTGGTCCAGGCTTCTTATTGTCTAGCTCGTTCTTACTTGTTAACCCCTTTCTTATAATCTGTGTATCTCCACGTAATCTCTGCATACCCAGGTCTCTTTCTTCCACAGCAGCTTTCAAGTCATCTCCCTGACTCCACCTACTACATTTCTCCATTCCTGTTTGGATTTCCTGCCTGGCTAACTCCTGCCTGTCTATTGGTTAAACCAATTAAAAAGTGCCTTGACAAAGACATATCTTCATAGTATACAGAAAGATTATTCCACAAGAATGTCTAAACATAACATAAGCTATAGAATATGTTTGATGAGTACTGGCCCTTTTGGCCCTTTTATGCAATAACTAGAGGCTACTGTCGAATACTAATTAAAGAGGATATTTTCCCTTTTATCCCTAAGTGCTAAAAATTTAAGGAAGAGTGACTCCCCTTAACGCTGTTAGTAACCCCAAAGAGAAACTCATTAGTTCACCAAGTTCGATGTTGGTATAACCATCATGTTGGTCTGATAAGGGCTCTCTTTCTGGGGTGAGTAGAACATGTGGGGGGGGTTGTGTGTGTTTGTGTGTGTGTGTGTGTGTGTGTGTGTGTGTGTCTGTGTGTCTGTGTGTCTGTGTGTTTGTATGTGTGTGTCTATGTGTATGTGTGTTTGTATGTGTGTGTGTCTATGTGTCTGTGTGTGTGTCTCCGTGTATGTGTCTCTGTGTGTGTGTGTGTGTGTGTGTGTGTGTGTGTGTGTGTTTATGTATAGCTTGTATGTCTGTCTGTTGTGATAGCTACCATTACATTTAAAGTTTAGATTTAACAATGCTTGAGAGGCCAAAAAAGAAAAAAAAAAGTGCTTCTGACATGTAAGCTCCTAGCTTGTACACAATGTACCCTACTATAACATATTGTGTATGTAACTTGGATTCTACTCTTGTTTAAAGAAAAACATAGATGTTTTCAATAACAGCCATGTAACTTCACCACCATCTTGATTAAGATAACCAGATGATATATACCAAATAAGGAGTCAAAAAGAAGCATCCAAAATATTTGGGACTAAAATAAAATTTTATATGATAGCTCTTGTCCTAGAAGTAAAAGTAAAAGATAAGTATAAAAATCATAAAAATGAGGTTTCTAAATTTAAAAGCATTATATGTTTAGTGAGTAAGCTGTTAAGGCTACACCTGCATACATTTATTATGTGAAAATTTAAAGGCTTTAAACATGGGAAAATATAAGCAATTCTCTCTTTTACCTTTATGATGTTCTTTGATAAAATGCCAGAGCAGCCAAAACAAATTTGGGAAACAATACAAATTTGAGCTGTAATAATTAAAGGAGTGAACAAAAGGCTTTAACAATTTTTATTCCTCAATTAAAGAAAAATAAATGAAGTTTTCTTTACTATGGTTAGTTATTCTGTTGAAAAAGGAAATTCCAAGAGACATCTGACCCTACAGAACACCAAATAGACTGAACCAAAGAAAGGTCTCCTCACCACATAATAATCAAAACACCAAACATACAGAACATATAGAACAAAGAGAAAATATTAAAAGCAGCAAAGGAAAAAGGTCAAGTAACAT